TATAAACTAGCAGTACGCACCGGCTACGCCCATTGATTTTTGTTTATAAGCTTTCTACTGTTTACTATGGCTTTTTAAAAAAAATTAATAAACGGGTCATATTTTAACAATCAACCTAACATACTTTTTTAGCCTGTGAATTAGTGTGTCCGTTACTATGAAATTTAACGGCCTGCTCTTTATTTCCTTCTCTCTCTCTCCCCTTCTTTCTCTCTCTGGAACCCCCATTTTGTTTTTTTTTACCTGCGCATCGTAACACTTTTGACTTGATTTGGAAGGACCCGCTTCATAATGTGCCCCCGCCACATACACGCACTCATATTTAGAGCCGTTAATTTTAGCAGCACTTTTATTTATCCGCTCCCCCCCCCCCCCACACACACACCCGCCAACAACAAAAAGGAAAAAAAAATTCTTTAAAAATACGGAAATTGTGATTTTTTAATTTTTTTTTTTTTATGCTTTATATGTAGAACTAGCCGGACATTACCCGCGGCCTGCGGACCTTAGTTTGTGTTTACTAATCTAGTGGATTGGATTTAGATGTATGTTAAATTTGAAGATTAATTTTATGAAATAATGAAATCAATAGACTATATTTTGTATTTTCATGTGTCAAAAAACAAAAATATCTGTGCAAAGTGTAGTTTTAAAGATTGGATCTAGATCTAGATCCTTTGGATCTAAACATGGCCTAGAGTCATGAATTAGTACCACTTTCATAGAGTTGGGTAGCTTGTTATTTTGATGGTCTTAAGTTTGTTTTAGGGCTACAATACATATGTTACGGGTCCAGCTAGTACCCAAGGAACATTTATGCCTTTTTAACACTAAAAAAAAAAATTATTTCTTCTTTTAGTCTTAGTTGAACCCTGCAAACTCCTAACGGAGTCGCGAGCCATAGGTTGAGAGCCCCCCCCTGGTATAGAATATTTTTTTTTTTTTTAAACCTAAAGGAAACGCCTGGTCACTCCGATGGTTATTTATTTGCCGAAACGAAATTAAAACTTGAAAATATGGAGAGAAACTTCTAGGAATTGTTGATTTGACTTGAATATATCTATTGGTATCTGGTTTGACAGGTTTGCTAGCTATGAAACGCTGACATTTTTATAACAGAAAAATAAGTCTGTTACAATGGTGCTTTTATTATGTAGCGCTAAGCCGTGTTATTCAATAAAGTTTTTTACGTGATAACTGCTTTGACAAGGTAAGATTTGTTTTCCTAACAAATATTTTAACAATTTTAACTAATAGTCTCGTACTTAAAATCTTCGCTGAAATTTAATCAAAATAAATATAAAACGCCACCTATCTCATTAAAATTATGGATATTCACGGTTGTTGATGCACACTTAAAATGTGTTTTTTTTTTGTTAGTTAAATAAACTTATTTAGAGATGTGTAGCCTGATATTTCCCGGATGTAACACAAAAAAAAAAGAAGAAAGAATGATCAACCTCTTTCCTTTGCGTTCCTCATGGAACATAGCGAGAGAGGACCAATCTCCTGTCTCTGAGCTCTACACACATTTTCCCCCTTTTCCTTTGAATTGATGCCTTTTTATCCTTAGGTACTGTTGCCCTCCTATCCAGAAGTCTAAGTCAACACTGAGACAGCTTGCCAGGACCCGTCACTGGCTTAGCTGTCAGTAGCCGCAGCTGATTCCTGCCCCTACACACAGTTGGACTGCCCACAGCCTGGACTCGCCAGCCCACCAGCAGACAACTACAGCACCAGACGTACCAGTCATTCACGGCAGCACCTGACTCTGTAGCACAGGACCTAATGACACTCAGACCAGTTGGCTATAACATCTTATAATGATACATGTCCATACCAGCTCGTGTTCATTTGTCAGCCCTCTGTTAAACTTCCACGCCATTGTAATTCTGTACATAAACCTCTGTACATAACTATATTTACTGTATTCGTTGCCTGCATCTTAGATGTGTGGCTGCTAGTGTTGCACTTGTGCAGGTGTTGGTTAAATATAAAATCTCCTATACCTCATTAAACGGCCACAAAACATAAGGGCCTCAGTACAAACACGCCACTCTCCACGGTCTCTTGCTAGTTTATTAATGGCTTCCCAGCTCTTTCCGGTCCTCTCGGCTTCATCTAGTACACTGCGTCGCCATGTTCTTTTTGGTCTTCCTCTACGTCTTGTTCCCTGGGGGTTCCACTCTAAGGCCTGTCTAGCTCTGTTGTTGGTATCTTTTCTAAGGGTGTGACCAATCCATCTTAACTTTCTCTGTAAGATCTGCCCCTCTATATTTTTCTGTCCACCCACCTTCTACAGTTTCAGTACTTCTCCCAGTTCTCTGCACTTGACTTTACTTAACAGTACCAAGTTGTACTGAACTCTCCCGAGCTGCATGTTTTTTCTCTCACTAACCTAGATTAGGTCCACAAAAAGTTCTGGACATTAGCAGAAACATAACGAGCTTCTCGAAAGTCCATCTCGAAACACTCCACACTCCGACACAGGCACAATCCGGAAAACTTCACACTCCGACACACTCACATTCCGGAACACTTCACACTCCGACACACTCACATTCCGGAACACTTCACACTCCGACACACGCACATTCTGGAACACTCCACACTCCGACACACTCACATTCTGGAGAACTTCACACTCCGACACACGCACATTATGGAACACTCCACACTCCGACACGCGCACATTATGGAAAACTTCACACTCCGACACACGCACATTCTGGAACACTCCACACTCCGACACGCGCACATTCTGGAAAACTTCACACTCCCCTACACACGCACATTCTGGAACAATCCACACTCCGACACATGCACATTCCAGAACACTCCACACTCCGACACACGCACATTCCAGAAACACGCTGAAGTTAGTCGCTTTTGTCCTGCACGTTGGCCATTATCTGTGCCGCAAGTTCATTGATAACAATATGTGAATTTAAATTTTAAATGTGACAATTATTGACTATTGAAGAAAAAAAAAGAATGAGCTTGTTATTTTTTTTTCTTTCATTTTCTTGTTTTCAGACTTCATAAAATGGTGATCAAACGAGAAGTAGCACACGGCATTGTCCAAGGTTTGAGTGACTTCTGGAAATGTGAGGAACTGCAAGATTTTTCTGTCATACTTAGAGGAACAAAGTTTGGATGTCATAAGTTTCTTCTGGCAGCTTGTTCTGGGTTTTTCAGAGGACTTTTTAGATCCGGTATGAAAGAAACGGAATTAAATTGTATGACTCTAGAAGACATCTCAAGTGAAACTTTTGACTTAATCCTAGAGACTCTCTACACTGGTCATGGTGTTTTGACAAAAGAAAATGTCATTGACATCTGGAGGGCAGCACATCAACTTCAGATAATATTCCTAATAACAGAGTGTGAGAACTTTGTCATTAAGTCTTTGTCATTGGAAAATTATATTGATTACTTTCAAACAAGCAGATTTCTAAATTCTGAGACTGTCTCAAAAACAGTTTGGTCTTTTATTATTAAAAATGCAAATTCCTTTTTCACAACAACTTTTTTTCTTGAATTGCCTTTAAGTGATGTCTTAAATTTAGTAAAAAGTCAACATTTAGAGGTGAATTCGGAAAATGATGTCATTAAAGCGATTTTAAAATGGACAGAGTGCAAATCTAATCTAGAGAACCAGGGTGAAATAAATCACGACTACAGAAGACTTAGTGATTTAACTTTAGTGAGTTTGAAAAAAAATTACAGTGACGATATCAACAATAGTTCAGAGATCAGTCAAGCAAGCTTGCAAGTTGAAACAGCTATTAATGAAATAGATGCTGCAAAACCCAATACTCCAGATACAGAAACTCGCTCTGACAAAACGCTATCTAGATTTCACAAACAAAACATCTCAGTAAGCAAAGAAACAAATCTAGGTATTTTGATCTCTCACGTGAGAACATGTCTGGCAAGTCATGACTGTTTGGAAATGCTGATGAGTCAACCGTTGGTCAGAGAAAATAGAGTCGCACACGATATTGTGACCCAAGCTTTATTCTACCAGCTTCAAATTGGTAAGAGAAACGGACAATGGCCAACAGCAGCAATACATAGAAACAACAGTGCCTTTGAAAACATTGCCTTGACAACCGTACGAACAGACGATAATGGAAAACAAGTACAAGTTTTCTCATTTTCAAGAAAGAAATGGCTGAATACCAAAATTGGACATTTAAAAAATCGAGATTATAAAGATTTTTGTGTGATTGACAACTCTTTGTATTACTTTTTTGTTACCAAAGAGCAAAATCAAAAAGAAGATGTAGGTTTAATGTCAGTTTTGAAGTTAACAGGAAACGATTGGTCAAATTTAAATGTTTCTCTGTCATTGAGCTATTCAAAATTCTATGTAGCAGCGGTAAATGAGTGTATTTATATTATTCAAAGAAAAAAAAAGAAAATTTGGAGACTGCAACCAACATCCGGAAGTGTAGTTTGCAAAACTGATTTACCAGACGACCAGCCAATATGCCACTTGACTTGCTATGAAAACTTTATTCTGGTAATGATTTCAAATTCTTTTGAAGGTGTTGATGAAACTCAAGTTTATTGCTACGACACGTTACAAGACACCTGGTCAAGACTCAACAATCTTGAAGGTCCAGCCAAAGGAATGACAAGTTTCAAAGATGACCAGTCCACTTATCTTTTGCAGTCCAACGGAGATGTCTGGAAAATAGTAAAGTCTCAGTCAGACGTTGTGGATTTTGAGCATGTGGCCAAACTCTGGAGTTGTGACTGGCCACTTCATGGAGCGGTCACTTTCATGGATAAACTCTATATTTATGGTGTCAAGTCTGAAACACGTAATGATGACCCACAGCTGCGGACATTCTTAAAAGGTTGGTTTAAAAAAATAATCTACATGGAAAGTGAATCGACTGACAGTTCAACTTTTATACCAATGATCTTAAGCAGAAAATGTTTAGCGTAAATGAGCATTCTGTCTAGTTTAGTACGCTGTTTAGCCTCACAGACAAAGTAAAACATCTTTTTCTACCATGCGTCACAAAATAAAACTTATCTCTCAAGAAAAGCTAAACGATCGATTGAACAAAAAAAATGACAATAGCTGTTAAAGGGGAATCACTGTAAATAATGGAAGATAGTTATTACCCTTTGAAATATGAACTTGCAACAATAAAAATTAAACTAGATTAAAAGCAAAGTTTGTGTTATCACATAAACTCAGAGGCGACCCCGCCCATGGACATTCATATTTAAGCCAAGAGCTTGTTTTGTATAAAGTAATACAATTTCAAAGACTCACTTGGCGTTGTTTCTCACTATTTTAGAGAATTTGTAGTGACCTAATTAGTTAGAGAGTGTGTTAGTTTTGTAGATAAATATATTGTGTATTGATTTTTTTAGCGACGGTAAAAGTGGTGGCGTAGACAGGCAGAAAAGGCGTACAAGAAAAAGTTGGCTAGAGCTTAGAGAAGGTTGATTAGTGATAAGTAAAAAACAGATAGTGAGAAGATAAGCCCCATTCTTTGATAAATACATTATTTGAAGTAGTAAAAGGTCTTGTAGTAAAAGGCCTATCTTGATAATTGTAATGTCCCTTGGCTAGTTTAGACTGGTGGAGGGAAATATAGTTGGATTTGCACAGCAAACAAGATCCTAGCCAGGACAAATTATTCGACGCTGTTTTTCACAGAAAAATGAACTGAGCCTATACTGGCCTTATACTTGATATACTAATTGATTACATTGCATCTATTGATGCTTTTGAAATGTTTGCAATTCTGAATGTATGTCTTTTTGTGATGTAGGATATTTTTTTTTTTACCTACATTTTATAGAGACATAGTTAACAACAAAGTAACATGTAGTGACCAATTCTAAATACTTACTTTTTATATTAGTATCTGGCTATGAACGCCACTTCATCTGCAGATCATATCCATTGTTAAATTTGTTCGATTATAATGACATCTAATTAGACCTAATTTTTGCCTTGTTTTGATATTTTGCTTTCCAGTAACGACACAGTTATAATTTAATTTCGAAGGATTTTTTAGGCTCATCACATTTTTGTCTTCTGTGTTAAGGCATTGTAATGATAATAAAGGCTGAATAAAGTGATACAAAAACATTCTTCCATGAGCAATGTTGTTATTTAAATGGGAATATTGCGTTATTTCTACCACAAATACAAAATCTCGGATCGAGCTGAAATTTCGCAAAAATTATTTCTTTTGCCAGGCAACACAAGAATACAAAATATTAACCAAGTAGTTCATTAATTATTTGCATTAAATTAGTTTGTTTGGCATCTCAAAACAAGGGAAATAGTACTTGACTGAAGTAGTGGTATATGCTGAATTATTCCCCTTTATAGATTTGAGGCTTATTACAAATTTAATTTCATGATTGATCCAAACTAATTGATACACTTAATATAAGCTTTTTTTTTAAAAGTATTTTTTTAATTATTTTTTTTAGTTTGTTTTGTCCCAAGGATGTTAAATTTAGAATTTAGTTTGAGGTCCCAATGAAAACAAGCTGTAACAAAGAAAGGATGTAACAACAAGTTTGCGACATTAGATTTTACATTTCAAGGTTTAAAAAACAGAGTGGTATCTTATCAAATGAAATACTAGTATCTTATATTTATATCTGCCTTCATGTGCACGAGATCAAGTTTATAAAATTCACATTTTTACGGAAAAGTGAGAGGTCCGTAATCCACAGTGTGGGAACCCCGACAACAGAATAAGTACTGAATATTGAACCGAAATATTTCCCGTTGCTAACATCATGTATTACATTGAAGATGTTATAATATCAATGTACTGAATATTGAACCGAAATATTTTCCGTTGCTAAGATCATGTATTACATTGAAGATGTTATACTATCAATGTTACGCACATACATTTCGAAAATGTTCCATAAGTATCATGAATATAATCCTAAAAAAAATATATGCCACATTCTTTATATCCGTTTATTGGACTTGTTCATACTTTATGTACTTCAATATAGTCCACTCTTTTTACAAAGCTTATATCAACGCACTGTCTGTCTGTCTGGTAAAAAAGTTTGTACTTGTTATTTCTCCGACTCTCAATCTCGGATCAAGCTGAAATTTTGCGTGAGCCACGAATGCCTCAGGTCGTTCCTCCTTTTTTTTTGTTTTGTTAATGCTTTTAAAAACTAATTACGGTTAAATCCACCCAGGTGTTCCTTTCTTGCTTCCCCCCACCCCCACCCCCATATTCCCAACTAGTCCAGACAAGTGATAGGATCATGGAATATTGCCAATAGTGCTGATCAAAAACAATTGGTACAAATATTATTAATCGCACAGATTTCTTGTTGTTCGCCTAGATCTATTACAAATTGACTGATACGAACTAATTGATACAATTGCACTTCGTATAAGCTTTTTGTTTTTAAAAGTATTTTTATGTTCTCTTGTTTACAAGCGAAACATAAATAATACTTTAAAATAAGAGATTCTATAATGGGAAGAACTACATATTTACTGCCATACATCTCAATACTGCAAGATTTACTACCATATTTCTAAAGAAAGAAAAACTATTTAATGACCCACTAATTTAAAAAGTTTTTTGTAATTTTGTTTTATTGCTTCATGTATTGTAATCAACTATAAGTCAATAATTGTGCGAAATTTCTGTTTGATCCTAGCTTAGAAAGTTGAAGAAAAGCATGTTGAAATATCCGCTCAAACAGACAGACAGACAGACCTTGCAAAAAATGTGCACGAAAATAATTTTTTATTATTTATATTATATAACTATTTGTACACATTATATTATACAACTATTTGTACACATTATATTATATAACTATTTGTACACTTATATAACTATTTGTACATTTATATTATATAACTATTTGTACACTTATATAACTGTGTGTACACATTATATTATATAACTATTTGTACACATTATAAAATATAACTATTTATACACATTATATTATACAACTATTTGTACACATTATAAAATATAACTATTTGTACACATTATATTATATAACTATCTTAGTGCAGTCACTCTAATCTAATAGTCTACGGTTCACAATGAAGGGTAAAAACATAGATGCATAATTTGACTCACTTTCAATATAACTGATGTTACTGAAAACACCAGGTAAAGACTTTCGTAGTGTTGGGTCATCTCTAAGTGCTTCACATTTGACGCCATAGATGTAAAGTTCATCCATATAAGTGACCGCACCACAAAGAACTGACCAGTCACAACTCCAAAGTTTGGTTACGTGTTCGAAATCAAGTTGGTTAGATGGTGTCTTGATCAGCTTCCAGACATCACCAGTGGACTGCAAGAGGTAAGTGGACAGGTCATCTTTAAAACTTGTCATTCCATTAGCTGGACCCTCGAGATTGTTAAATCTGGCCCAAGTGTTTTTTGAAGTATCATAGTAATCAATAGCAGTCTCAGCTTCCCCTTTCACAGACACAGAGTAGAACACAAGAATAAGATTTTCATAAGTTGTTACATGGCTAATTGGTTGATCATCTGGAATATTAGCCAACTGGACACTCAATGTCGACTTTGGATCAAGTCGCCAAATGGTTCTCAAATCACTGTTTAACAAGTACATGTAATCATTTACTGCTGTGAAAAAGTACCTGCATAAAGGAGGTATTCGCAAATGAAATTGTTTTTCCGACCAGGCATTGTGCATTAACTGAAACAATGACAATTGATATGGTTCATCATCATTGTCCCAGTGACTTTTTAGAGTGACGCAGAGAGAATACATAGACTTGTCGACTGCTGCCAGACGAAACACTTCAGTTTCGGGAAAACTTTTGATCTTTGTAGAAAACCATTTATTTCTTGTAAATGAAAATACTTTTATCTGAGTGCTGGTGGGTAAAAGCTCAGCAGTTATGGCAACATTTTCATAAAAACTGCTATTTCGATGTATAGCGGATGTAGGCCATTGACCGTTTCTTTTGCCAATCTGAAGTTGATAAAGCAGGGCTTGTGTGATGAGATCTCTGGTCTGTTTGTCGCTGGTGACCAGTGGATGTCCGAGCATCATCTCCAGGCATTCATGACTAGCAAGACATGTTCTCGCTCTAGACATCAGAGCAAACAGATCCATTGATCTAGAGCCAGTGAGAATGCCTACGGAACTGTTGTCAGTGGAAACGTTTACATTCTTGATGTCATTCCTTTCTTCTGAAAACAAGCAACGAGCATCTTCCATGGCCACATCTTGTACTCTTGAACTAGGAAGACCTTCACTGTTTGGGGCAAACTCAATCCATTTCATTATTGCTTTTATGACGTTATCTTCAGACTTTGCAACTAAACTCTGACTCTCTACCAGGCTTAGAACATCCGACAACGGGAGTTCAAGGAAAAAATGTTCCTTTGAAAATGAGGTGAAATTTTTAAGCATAAACATCCACGCAACATCCACCACAGCATTGAAGTTAAACAACCTGCCAACTTTAAAATAATCAATATAGTTTTCTAGGGACATCGTTTTTATGACAAAATTTTCACATTCTTTGACTAAAAACTCTATCTGTAAACGATGAGCAGCCCTCCAGATGTCAGTGACATTGTCATTGGTCAACACGCTATGACCAGTGTAGAGAGCCTCCAGAATCAACTCAAACGTTTCACTTGAGACGTCTTCTACAGTCACACAATTTGATTCCGTTTCTTTCATCCCGGATCTAAAAAGTCCTCTAAAATATATGGAACAGGCTGCGAGAAGAAGTCGATGACAGCCATATTGGGTATCACCAAGTGTGACAGTAAAGTCTTGCAGTTCTTGACACTTCCAGATGTCACCCAGTCCTTGGACAATGCCGTAGGCCATTTCTCGTTTGATGACCATATTTGTTCTGTGAACACCAACAAGTTATAATTTATAATTGCAGTAAGTGACATTATTTCTGTTATACTAAATTTGACTCTTACCATTGAAGATCACTGGATGATCTCATTTCATTACAAACAATTTCAGACAATCCAATTATCGGATACGGTCTCTAAAAATGTATTTAAACAAAGACACAGTCATGTTGGAAGCGTGGTCGAGAGGCGCTTGAACTTGGCTCGAGGTTCGACACCCGACTCGGGTAGAGTTGTGTTTTTACTGAGCGCCTAAAGGCAGCACGGAAAACCAACTCCTAGATACGGCATCCCCCCCACTGGTCCATAAAAGAGATTGGACCAAAAGCGCTCTGAGCATGCTATACGCGTGAAAGTAATGCTATATAAAAGGTCTAATGATAATGTTCTCATTTTAGACATCCGATCAAACATATCCATGACATACTCTTTCATATGTTTGTCTTCAATTCGTTATTACCTTCACCTTTTTTGATACATGATTTTGTGCTGTCTTTATAAAACGCTAATTTTTTGAAACATCCGAAATCCATATAGTATATTAATAGTTAAGATTTTGAGGTTTGAAATTTGGCCTTTCTGGTCCATGGAGACATGATTTCCTTGCTTAAAACATCTTTTATCATAAAGGTTTTTTTTTAATTAATAAAAAAAAATATGAGTTAATGAGTGCCACTTACTAGGATCAGTGTTGTGCCAACTCAGTGCCAAAATGATCGGTGATTTGCCAATGACTGTCAACTCAAGAGTGCCACAAGGATAAGTGCTCTGCCAATGACTGCCAACTCAGGAAGACAAGAAGTAAACTATATAGTATAGACCTAAGTGATTTAAATAAACGTACTAGCAAAACCAAGTACCAAGTGCGTGCGCATTAATCTCAAAGAACTATTTTTTTTAAATCTTTCGTATCATTACTAAAAATATATTTACTGATATAAAATATTTTTTAATGTCCCCTATAGTTTCTTGAAATGAAAAAATAATTGCTTTTGTATAAAACTTTTTTTATGATAGAGCATGCTGAATGTGCTCTTGTCCAACTGTGTGTGTGTGGGAGGGGGTAAGAAGATTGTCTCTGAGAGAAGGTTTCCGTGCTGCTATTAGGCAGATAAAACACAACTCAGCTTGATTCAGAATTCAAACTCAAGTCTGGATTGGAACTCGAGCCCCTTGATAGATACCTAAACATTTTTGGCCACTTATACTTAAGACGAGTTCTTAAAAGTAAATTAAATCAATTTATGTAACATTCTTTGTTTTAATGGTGTAGTGTTCGCGAATCTGTTTGCGAATCTAACGACTCATGCCTCCCCCATTATCAACCTTCTGCTCTCCGTATTACCCCCCTTTTTATTTACTTTTCCTGTTGTTTCTGTTTCTTACTTATTTTAGTTTTGATAGTTTTACAACTTTAATAGAAAGAAACATCAGAACAAATCAAAGCATATAAAAACAGTAACCAACTGGCCAAGTAGCAGGCCTGTTGTTCATTTGAGTAGCAATGGATGGCTTCCCGCACCACAAAGGAAGAGATTAGAAGCAGGATCACAACCGCGCTTTGGCCTCACGATGACCTGCTGACCACTGTCAAAAAGCGCAAACTAAAATGGCCACATCACAAGCTCCGCAAAGACAGTGCCAGAAAAAGAGGCAGTCAACGGAAAGACAACATAAAACAAAGAAAAAGAAAGAAATGCTTTCCAAGGTAAAATACTCAAAATACTAAAGGAAGGGACATAGACGGTCGAATGATCATATGTGGATCCCCAACGGTTCAACAGAGTAAGGGATACGTGAAGGACAGCTTCCTTTTTTTTTTAAAAAAAAAACTTCCTAAGTGCGGGATTGTGAGCGTGTAAACATGATTTACATTTGCATATTGTGGCGTGATAATAGATGGATGATATGCAGATAGAAGTATAATGGATATTTGAGAAGTTATCGAGGTGTGTGTGTACGTGAATTATTCGTCAATTCTTCCGTAGTATTATTAATCTATTGTATCGGACTAAATACTGCTTTGGGTTTCCCATTAAAAGCGGCGGTTTTCTGGGAAATTGGGGCGACCGGCTGATTGGTGTTTAGAACCCTAACTTACCAATATTATATTATGCATTTAGTGAGTGGTTGTGTGGGTGTCTAAATTTGTGGTCAGAAGTTTCCACAAATGATCTTTGCATTGAAACGAGATGCACAAATCTGGTTCAATCTATCTATATATATGTGTGTAATTCTCTACGTCGACCAACCATGCGGTACACCACGCACGCACGCAGACTCTCTAACCTTCCTCCCGCCCGCACCCGCGCAATCCCATCCAATTTGAACAACTGTGTCTTTCAGGAAATGTTCATCCGTCACTAAATAGTGGCGAATGTTACACCGCGGGTTGGCTAGTATTTATTATTAGTATTAGCCTAATAGTGTGGTACAGTAGATGCAACCGTCAACACGTAAAAACTACATCTTACTAAATGAAGATGTTGAAAATGTTTAGCTCAAAAACAAAATGAATTTCAACACAAACAATGAAAGCGAATCAAAAAGCATTTAAAACGCGAAAAAAAAATTGAATAAAAGTAACACATTATATCTATATTTAAGTCTTTCACGCTTAAGCTTGTAGGCAGTCTACAAGTTCATGGCTAGTCGCAAGAATGTGACTTCGTATGATCAGACGATCCATGTGCGTGAGTTAAGTGAGGTCACAAAAAAGGCGGGAAACGAAAGGCCAAGTTTGAAGATAGCGTGCGCCTGGGTGGAAGGTTATCATCATCATCATCATCAAACTCCATTAGAGTGAGGGCTTGAGAGGCTCAAATCCTCTCTTGCAAAAGCCCTGGACAGAAACGTTGCTGTCTTTTGTAGTGCATAAATGTCGCCATACAGGTCGAGAATTTCGGGTTTCCCAGACCTGTCGAGATGGAGATCAGCAAGTCTGGGGCAGTCAAACAGAATATG